CTTAAAATGTATTGATATTAATTAAATACTTATTTGAAGCATTAAATTTTAATTTGCTTGAACATAGTTAATATTTTAAACAAGGAGAATAATAAAATTCTGTAATATCAGTAGTAGGTTAGTAGCATCAAAACTGTGCAGCTAAATATCATACGTTTGACATCGTAAATTAATTTTTCATTTATATGTCTTTCTCACTTATGCGTCGTTTCTGAATAGTCCCTTGAAAGACTTTGCTGAACTATATTGTAATTGCGAAAATTTTGGAGTATCATATTTCAACTAAAATATCCATTTTGACCGTTCCAGAATCCATTTGGACGATTCTTTTGCGTTACATCTGCTTTACGCACATAATAAAGGACTCTTGTTTCCAAAACGGATTGTAATATGGATTTAAAATGGATTAAAAAGGAATTTCTTTTCGTGGTGTCTGTATGTACATACGTAAATATGTATGTATCGCGCTTTAATGTAAAGCAGATAGCCGTAGAACTTTGAAATTTTGTATATGGGGTTCTTATAATATCCAATTCTGTGGAATCAACACCGAATTTAATTGTTTAAATCTACTTTTTTATTAATTTAACATTTATAAATTACAAATTCACATTTCCTAGGAGATAATTTAATCATTTACATATTCTGTATTAAATTTAATTTTAAACCTTAGCAGCGATAGTGAAGTTTTTTTTCTTTTTAAGTCCTTTTAAATTTAGTTTTGAAGTTCTTTAATTTTTAAAGTTTTTCTCCTTTTATTTCTTTCCAAATTACATATATATATATATGACTATATATTGAAAAAATTGTTTATCTGCTTTCACCGCTTCGCCTTCCTGCTGGTACACGTGTCGATTAACCTCTGCTAGCTATTCTTCCTTATGTAAGATGTAATTGTGTATCTAACATTGTGAGGCGCATTTAGCACTAGTGATCTACCATTTAAGAAGATACGTCGTACGAAATGCATTATCCAAAAATAAATAATGCTTATCTACAAAGCTGAACCTGCTTCTTCCAAAATCCGGTCATCTTCTTCCACCCGGTATATAACGCGCATCTATAGTTTCAAAGTATATTTTTTAGTTTTTAGGTATATTCGCCGTATAACGCGCCCCTTTTCCTTTATGAAGAAATCTGAAAGCTACACGTGATGCTCTTATCTTTTGAAGTCCTTCATTCGAGGACTTTTCCTAGGCTTTCGAACAATAGTATGCTGAATTGACAAAGCGATTAGGAAAACAATATGTGGGGGGGGGAACAATATGTGTGTGCTTGAGGCAAAAATAATTCTGCAAAGAGGGTGTGTGGTACTCAATGCACATGTGCACAAGACATTTATTCGAATGTTTCGCGAAAAGGGAGGGCATTATTTGAAATAATAATGCACTTCCACCCCGAATGAATTCGCGAGCCGCCCAGACGGTACAGTGGTAAGGGGACCCTATTGCGGTACCGAAAGGTACTACTGCGGTTCGAATCCCGAAGAAGGCATGGATGTTTGTAAATGTGTAGAGTCTTTGCGACATGAGGGCACTTCAAATATATGGTGAGTCGAAAGTCCTCTCGAGAGGTTGGTGGTAGGAGAAGAAGGTTGCGCGACCCTCTGATCCGTCCCCCCCCTCGGGGTGCTCTCCATCAAAATTGAGAGCGGAACAGAGCGAAGTCGTACTGTCACCTGTAGGTGCTCAAGGTTCTAGCTAACGACAGGCGCAGTCTTGCACTCCTTGCCACGATGAATTTCGTGGGCTCGTTCTGGTGTTACTGTCAAACACGTGAGATAAGTCATAACGTAACAAGAACATTACATGAATTATCAGTTAGAGGTTTATCTCTTTCTGTAGTCATTTGAAGCCATGATTTTGAAGTGAACATCGAAAGCAAGGAAGGAAAAAGAGGCCAAATGCGTCATGCCAGTCTAGAAATAGTGTGTGAGTGGATAATAAAATCATGGAATGAAATTAAACTTGATATAATTCAAAAGTCATTAAAAATGTAGTATATTTAATACTCTAGATGGAGCGGAAGATGGTTATTTATTTATGAATCAGAATAACAGTAATGGTGAAGATGAAACAGAATTCGATGATGTGCATGAAGATATAACGGAAGACTAATATGACGAACTTTGCATGTTTTTTCAGATAAGGATTTTTTTTATTTCATAAGGAATGTCATTTCTTTTAAACAAACAGCTTTTATGTACATGTAGAATTGTTTGCTTAACATTAAGTTGAAAATGATAACCAAAAATTAAAAGTTATGTATATAAGTCGAAAATCTTTAGTGTGCTTCACATTAACAGGCTTTATGAATGTACAGTACAAAGACCGAAATCAGTAGGGCCAATATTTATGAATTTATTTTTTAACTTGGGGCCGCCCAGTCGGTATAGTGGTCAGGGAAGTTGACTGTGATGCCGAAGGGCCTGAGTTCGAATCCTGGAGAAGGCATGGTTGTAACTGTCCGTCCCTTCATAGGAAAGGCGGTAGTGGCCCGCCTATTAGGTGCCTTCATAGTAAAGAGACCACCACATCCGGCCTTGTATAGATTAATGGACTAGGTTATATTTGTAATTGTTCACAATCTCCCATATAGGGGAAAAAAAGATTAACTTGGTCTTATATGATTGCCATTAATATTGTCCTCAATTTCTTTGGAAGACCGGCAAATTTTATTACTTACTTAATAAAATCATAAATAAACAATCGCTTTTCTTCAAGGATCGCACTTGATGACCTTTCTTACTTTTTTTAGATTTCTACAGCTTTTCCATTTTCCGATTTTCCGCATTTTCATTTAATAATAATAATAATAACCATATTTGCTTAGGTTCCTACGTGTTGGCATTTGACATTCAATTACAAAAAAGAGATATTAGATTTTTTTTTCAAATTATTAAGTTTCTATTATTGTTAAATATGCTAGTGTTAAATCAGAATCCATGAATAAACTATCATCACTCTTGAAAAGCTGGAGCTTGACGGTAGATATGAAAACAGATCCTTGAAATTCAATATACTTTGCTAAAATTTGTAATAGCCCAAGACGTGCTTGGGCTAATTAGGAAGATATTAAAAGAAGTTCTCAAAGGATGGAGCAGTATATTTGTCAGGGCATTTGCCAGTAGTTCGAGTATTCCATAATGTGTTGGGCGAAATAAAACTTTAATATACTTTGTCTGTCGCATTGACCACTAATATCCCTATCTGTGATTTCCAAAACGTTCCCAAGTATAATCCTAAAATTAAGGATTAAACTATAGTTAAAGTGAGCTATACATCGTTTACGGCAAAGCACACTAGGGTTAGCTGCCTAAGGGGAGGGGTGCATTTGTGGGGAACTTTCTAGGAGAAATTGACTCGTAGACACGTTGCACACGGGAAAAGCCACGAAAGCGCCCATGCAGCCAGCCTGTTCGCGGGATTCACCCCTCAGACCGAAATACCAATGTTCAGCGACTTACCGCTCAGCCGTCGATGGGCCCAGCTATAGAGCGTAAGAGAAAAGCTAAGGAATTTCCTCATTGCAAACATTATTCCCTATATCTCCGATGCTATCGCTATTTCCAGTTTTAAATCTACGGCTCCAATTCTTAATGTACATATTATAACTCAGTTAAATTGTATGTTTTACTTAAAAAATAAATCTGTTATATTTTTAATTAAATTGTTATACTAAAATTAAGTGACTGAAATGAAGAAAGCAACCTCTGCTGCAGTAGAAGTAAATACTACTACTCTGCATTTCCCATGCGTTTGCTTTAATATATGCGGAATTAGACTTTAAAATGAATTCCTTTCCAAATTTACCGCTTTAGTTTGTAGAGTTTCTGTTGTAATTGGAAGCTAAGATCTTACGGACCCTACTAGACCAATAGGCGAGTTATCGTTACTTCTTAAACAACTCACAAAATACTGAAGAAGGCTGAAATAACCTTTTTATTTAGTCCTAACGTAACAGAACAAGCAGGACTTGTGTTACAGATGAAACTGCCATTACTTGTGGATATTTAAATTAACATAACGTCGTTAAATTCAAACGCAGAAACGTTTGTCTAAGACTACATATAAAACAGATTAATTTAAGCTGGCTCAGATGTTTTAACCGGAGCGTATTTTAAAACATCGGGTAATAAGATGCTAAAGCCGGAATATAACTTTTAAGCAGAGGTGCGAACTAACAGCGAGGTGCAGAGGAAACTAACAGCGAAAGGCAGTTGCTAAAAGTTCTAATCTAATCCCTCATCTTTAAAACACCTCACTCAAATACAAAAAAACCTAATTTACATTCTGGGGAAAAATACGGAAAGGAGAATTTATAGAATCATAATAACTGGTTAATTAACATACTTTACAAATTATCAAACATCGAGCGAAATCTTTTAGAGTTAGCCTTTAGATATAACGCAAAATTGTTCAATTAAAACTTACGAGAACAAATTAATGCCGGGAAATTTCATGTCTCAATCTCACCCAAATGGTTTTAAAAGCTAAGACTTGCTATGAAATATTCGGAGATAATTTTCATTTATAGATAAACTCTGTAGAACAATCTGTATCATAAACTAGTATCCATAGCGGTCAAGGTTATAATTATCCCTAAAACGAATCGTTTTTAGGTAAACCTTATAAAGTCCTAGATTTCTGAGAGCAGCTCCAAGTCATCTCACTTTAAATTCCCGCATTTTCCCTTTCAGTTGAAGATAACCGGTGATAATCCATAGAGCAGCAACTCAATCAGATTGAAGAAACAGATTTAGCTTATGCATCTTTGTCGTATTACTATTACAGCTAATTCACCTACTTCAGGTAAATCGGGAATTCAGAATCGAACACCCATCTCTAAGCAAGAATTCCGAGACTAGGAGTAAAGTTCGGCCCCTCGCATGTTACCTGAAAATAAGTAAGAAGAATTTAACAGGAGCTCGCCGATCGAGATCCGCCCCACGAACCGCCCAGACATTCTGACTGACGTTCCTGGGACCAATGCGGGGAGACAGAGGGAGACTGTTTAGACCTGAGATCTTGAGGCTGTTACCGAATGATGGCAGTCGAGGCGAGAATTCGCGGATAAACGCACCTTGACGCGTTATGCTTTCAGGCAGCGCGCTATCTGAGGATGATCAAGTTGCAGTTAGAATCATGAAGGTAAGCTACATTCAAACTCTCAAATTCTGTGATCTTTGGAAAGAAATGAATTTTATTTGTTTTCTTAGCATTCTAGTGAACTTCGTTAAAATCAAAAAGGATATGGAATTTATATAAATGTGTATGTAAATCCTCCAAAATATAAAATGCTCTGCATGAAGAGTAATATTTTACCCCTATTTAAAAAAAAATTGTAAATTTTAAGATATTTAACTACGCAGGGAAATGGGTAATGGGGAATTTTATTAAAAAATTACAGTCACGAAATCTAATGCATTTAATTTTTTTTACTGCATTCTGAAACTTTTCATTATTTATATTCCATAGTTTCTTTTGCATTAAACATATTTTGTGATAAAATTAGTTAATATATTTTTTCGTGTTTTTTTTTTTTTTTTTTTTTTTTTTTTTTTTTTTTTTTTTTTTTTTTTTTATAATGTTTTCTGATTGTACCCAATACATGTACTGAAAATGGCGAAAATTTTTTTATATCTGTGCAAAGAATTCAGAAAAAGTACTACTCTTTTAATATATGATATGTTTGGATTATTTTCACCGAATATTGCAATCAAATTGCTCATTTCCATATTTTAAATTCGAATTCACCTTTTGTGCATATTGCACGTATAACATTTGAGCATTCTTCCAATTTCTTTTATTTGAATCTTTTGCTATTTCATTTGTTTATTTATTTTATAAATATTTTACACTGAAATTGGAATTTTTTTTTTTTTTTTTTTTGTGCTATAATTTTAATGCTGTAATTATACATTACTTTCGATATATTTTCTAAGAGAGTGAAATTAAAATATAATTTTAAAAAATTAATCTTTTCAGTTGAGATGCTATATTTAATCCCCAATAAAACCATTTTAGCAAAATATTTTATATTTCTCATGTTTCTAGAGAAATTATTGCATTTTTAACAACTTAAGAACATAAATTTTCTTTTAAATTATTGATGGTTAATTGTATTAGAATTTATAAACACGTGTACCTACTCGCGACTTCAATCAATTAAGACATAAATGTATTTGAAGTGCGGGGGGGATGATAATATACAGATCTTATAGTCGTTTATTTTATTAACTGTTTTACTACGCGAGTTACAAAACAAAGTTGTTTGACTATGTAAGCTAACTTATTCATAAAAGAAAATGATGTAATAAATAGAATCATTTTACCCATTGGAGTTGATAAGTTTCGCAACCGATGAATTTTAATTTCTCAGGCTGAGTATTTTAAAGATGTTTAATTTTAGATCGGAGGGAAGGGGGGGAGTTCATTAATAGCTACAAGTTTTTTTGTGTGCATTTTGTTATATATAAAATGCATTAATGCCTTTGCAACAGAAGGAAACACCTCAATTTCGATTTAAGAAGTACCTTTAAGCGTAACTGTTCTTTTGAGAATTGCAGAAGGGGGAAGCACAATTTTATATGTTTTCCTGGAAAATGGATTTCAACATGAGAGCCTTTGTGATATGTCCTCGCCCTTCCTTTTATTTATTTATTTTTAAGGTATGCATCCTTAATTTTTAATTAGTTCTGAAAAATTTAATTATTTTTTTCTTCATGAGCTGGCTGCTGAAAAGTCATTTCTACTTTCTGTACGGATAGTTTTTATACCTGTTGTAAATGTGGAAAAATTTTATTATTAAACTGAATTAGAGTGAAAAATATGTTTTTGAATCTCAGAAAAGTTTCGACGGGATTTAAGAGGAAGTTAGTCTATTTGAATACGACAAAGCCCAGGTGTGTTATCTGCCTAAGAGGAGGACCTTTTTAAAGAAAACTGACCCGTATTCACGTTACACAAGGGAAAAACACAAAAATAAACAAAGCAGCCTGCCCGTTCAGCTGTGCCCGAACTCAGGTTCAACTACCAACATTCAACGTTTTAATTTTTAGGTACTGATGAAGCGATTCCAGGGAAGGAACTCACTGATAAGGTTTAAAATATATTTAATTTAATTTTCTTAATTTTAATTTAATTTGAATAATTGATCATTCAGTGGGCTATAAAAGCAGCTCGTCGCAACAGCCGTTAAAAACCATATTTTTATAACCGTTGAAACTCTGCTTCTTTCATTTTTATGTTACCAGATGCAGAAAATGAAAGTTATCAATATAGTTGTGTTTTAAGACAAGAAAGGTTTCTTTATCATTACGTCCTTCAAAATAAAAGGAAAACAATCTTTCTATAGAGATATATGAGGTGAGGGAGAGTTCAGTTAAAAATGCCAGTTTTCAATCAAATTAAAAGACGCTATGACAAAACTATATGTTCACAGTTGTCAATGAAATTCACGTGCAGTTTTTAACAACTACAAATGCGACTATAAATTTACATTACTTAATATAGCGGAAGTAGAGCAGCTAGCTGCATTTTTGATTAAGTAAAATCACTTAAGCGTTAAATTTTTTTAATTTAAAAACAATCCAAAAATTTAGTAACTGTGAATGCGTGACACAAAATTACATATTTAATAATGACTATGACTCAGTTTCAATTATTTTGCTATCTCAGAAACAGCTACTGATAATATGAATATATTTCAAGTTATGCGTAAGGAAGTCTTTCTTGAACTTCTCCCCTACCTATAAGCAGATACCTCGAAAAGAGTATACTTTGTAACAATTAAATAATTCAAATTCAAGTTTCTTTCAATTTTGTTGCAAATATTTAATGAAAAGCAGTTCTGTTATTAACATTTAATAAACTAATTACCGTTTAGAAAAATTAAAATAAATGAAAAATTACCGGAACATAAGATTAGAGGACTTAAAAATTTATCATTCGAGGAGATAGTACTGTGTGCAATTTAAATAATAAAAAATATTTGATAATAAATTTAAGTAATAAAAATGGTTTTTAAGATTATATATCACTTAAAGTTCTAGTTAACAGTGGGAGGATAGGAAAAAAAGTATTAATCATATAATAATAATAATCTTTTAGTGAATTTATTTCCTGCATTCATGCATTCTTCCCCCCCCCCCCAAAAAAAAAGTTTTTTTAAAAAAGAAAAGGGCATTACAGGGTGGGTGATATTTTATTTTATTCATTTTATAATGAATGTAAAAATTATTTTAAGAGTTGACGATTACGTCAGATTTAAAAATTTAAATAGCTTCTGACTCTTTTTTAACTATACAATTTTACTACTGCTTGATATGATTTAAAAAAAAAAAAATTAAAATAATTTTTTAACGTGTTCTTAAATTTTATATCAGTATATTAATTTTTTTATTGTAAAGATTATATAGAAAACCCTCCAAAGAAATCCTATGTATTTTGAGGCTATAAGTTTGAAACATTTCTTAATGACCGAAAGTAATATATACTTATACAGCAGTGTATATGCATGTATGCGCAATCATTAGACTTAAGCCATGGAAAGTCACTGCCATTATTTATAGTATTAATAGTGAATTTTGCTGAATATACAGTAATAGTAATTTATTCTTTCATCTGTACTATAGACCGTAGTATAACGACTATAAGAAAATATTCTTAATGTAGCTTTATAATATAACTGCTTTGTAAAGAACTATGGAAACAATTATAAATCCAATTTAAGATTATTACTTAAACTCAACTTAGTCAACTTAAACAGATTAGTCATCGCTTGTCTTGTGGCTCTTCTTTTTGCCTACTTAAAAAAAAAACGTTTGAAAGTATAAAATATAAAAAATGAAATGCTTTTGATTTGTCATTTTGAGACAAGGCCTGCTCGTCTCAAAACTTTACTTCCTTCCCAAATTCCTCCACTTTTGCTTATTGAGGAAGAGAAAACAAGAAAGAAGCATCAAAATGTTTAATCAAAGTAATAAAAGCAGTACCCTTATGTATTAATATCACATTTATCCGTGGATAATAAAAAAGAACGCACTTCTGGCATTCTGTTACATTTTTGTCTTTCCGAAGAATTACTTAATAAACTCCGAATTATTTTCTTTTCTTTTATATGAAACTTTACTACTGTTCAAAATAGCTAGATTTTTTTAGAAAATCGTATTGAAAGATTAAATCTAAGTATATATTTTTTATGTTAAAAGCTAAATTATGCTTGAATATGAAGCGGGAGATTATAAGGGAATCGAAATTTTAATACAGGTTATCCTACATTGTCTAAGTTGATATTCCACTTCATTTAAATAATTTCGCTGTGTTACATATAGCTGAAAGAAGTCAGGTTGAATTACAGGTACATGGAAATGGAAATAATATATTAAAAACGGGAATATAACATGTAATAATCTATTATTTACGATAAACAGTAACTGGTAGAATAATTTCGATAAAAGTTGATTACACAAATTTCCTATAAAATCTAAGTAAAGTAATTTTATCTGCTTGATTATTTAAGACAACAGACCCTGAAACTTGTATAATGCATCAATACGGTTTTCTTACCCGATAGCTCTTCATTAAAAAAAAAAAAAAAAAAAAAAAAAAAAAAAAAAAAAAAAAAAAAAAAAAACCCCCTCTATTTTCGCATATTTTTATTTTCTTTCTATCAGAAGTGAGATAATATGACAAATCTGTCTGCTAAAACGATGCATCGCTTTCGCAAACTTTCTAAAATATCTGTATTCTGATCATGAATACTCTGGTTTAATTTTTTTAAAACTGTACCTTCATTTCTTAAATTTAGTATAATTTATTTACATCTGTGCACGTATAGATAACATCTTATTTTACGCATTATGTGCAAAAAGTGACATAATGTATTCATGTGCAAAAAGTGGCATAGATCTACAATTCTCTTTTTTTGTGAAATTTAGCACAAATTTATTTTTCTATGCTCAAATGTCACTTTTTCATTAGAATACAGATTACATTCTGTGCGTTTATTCTAATGTCTCATGTTAAATATTTGTATAAAAGCGTCATTGTAAATTTTTGCTTCATTCTTTTATCATGAATTTCTGCCCAAGTTTTTCTAGAATTGTTCAAAATCATTTCTGCGCATTTGTAAATATTATACATTTTGA